ATTCCGTTTTATATGAATTCCATGTTGTACGAGTCACTTAGATTTTACAAATACGTGAGCCGTTCACAGCCCGGCACAAGAATTTGTAAAATCTAAGTGACTCGTACAACATGGAATTCATATAAAACGGAATTATCAATAGTGTTATAGGGGGGTCTACTTGTAATCTGAAAATGAAACACAGTTATATCATTGACACGTGAGGTACGATTCACTTATCATGCAACTTCAAGTTCCCAATTTCTTTCTTTTATACAATTTTTCTTCTTAGTAGGTTATCTAATAAACCAATTTAGCGCTTAAATAGAGGGCCACAAATTAAAAATAATTATATAATGAATTTCGCTTACATATGGGGTATTCGAGAGTCCTCAAAATGTATAAATATTTGTGGTCCATTTTGAGGAATCGTGGGAATGTACAGTACAATTATGACGCTGTATGTTCTATAATCATAGATACATCTGTAATCATTCACAATTATTATAAACAGTAAAATCGACTGTATGAGGTGGGAAATAATGCTGGAGGTGTTCCAATTTAAATAAAATTAACCGAATTATTTTCAATTAACGTGGCAGTTTCCAAGAACTTATGGACAGAACTCAGCCAAAGATTCTGAGCTTTTCTACGATTTATATTCAATGAAATTTCATTGAAAATAATTGTAAAGAAGCACAAAATCATTTGTATCTTTTATAACTGATATCTTGGTGGCCATTTTCAAAAATGGCCGCCAAGCTAGCAAATTATAATAAGTGTTGCCAGACAATCGATATATTTATTTCAAAATATTTTTAGAAGTTATCCTCAGTATTTATAATTTCATTAAATTCCTCTTATTCATTTTAATATTGTTTCTAATCAATAAAAAATTAACCGAATTAACTTTTTATATAATAAATACAATAAATCTTCGCTTATACTATTTAATATTTCTTGAAGAATCGCCATTTAGGAAGACGTCGTAAAGCGAGGATTCTCTTTCCTATAGGTTCAATGTTATATATTGAGATTACGTGCCAAAATACTGCCTTTTATAACGTCATAATTAAACATTTATACTAGTTGTAAAGCGAGCGATCCCGAAAAGAAGTATGGTGTTTATGAATGAAGAATGATTCTAAATCAATTGTTTTTAAAACTTACCAAATTTATTACTAATATTTTAATATATCGGTGTAAAGTCTCTACGAATAGACTCTTATAACACTGATGGAACATACATTGCGGTATAGTTTGTAACTTACCTTGGGGTTCTTTACTGTTTATTTCTACTTCGCTACAAGTTAAAGCTATAGCAATAACTAGATAATCAAATTATAATGGCGTTAATCTCTTAAAACTTGCTTTTCTGCCAAAGTTGAATGCTCAGAGATGAAGTTGCAACTCAAAGAGATTTCATAATACCATTTGAATACATTTTTAATCTTTGGAAAATCCTTAATGCCTTTACATAAATACTGTATATTTCCTCCCTTTTTTTTAAATAATGAGAGTGATACCTCGACAAGTATAAAACTTAATCTAAATTCAGTAAAAATCGAAGAACTCACCAGCATCTCGATAGGTACGTCAGCTGATTGTGCACCCAATTCTCTGAAACTTTCGTGTTCTTCGCTAAGTATCACCTTCCATTGTAATGCCAGCTTTATGGAGCAATGCTTTCCAGTAAAGTGAGTCTTCTCTGATTTAGCATCCACTCTGATACACTCGTCATAGGAACCAAGTTCCATGAAGGATCCTTCCATGAAACCGGTAGGGATCTTTCCAGTGGCATCTAACACTGAAGAAACGAAACCATCATATAGTTTTCGACTTGTAACCGTAAGCCACGTTGTTCGAACGGAATTAATCGATAAATCGCGTGTCTGTCGGAAAATTACGTGTCAGTAGCATCTGTGGCATCTGCACGAAGGGAACCCGAAGTCTGGCACATGTCTATTAGTTACGGTTCAACAACGGCTTTACAACGAAAAGAACATGCTACCCTATTCGCTTTCACTCGAGAAAATGCGTTGTTTCGTACAGACACGTCTACAGATTCATCGAATTATTTCATTTTCTTTTGCTACGAATCTAAGTCTGAATCGGTTAATACCAGATAATGAATCATCCAGCCGAAATATGTTCGAAAAAGCACTCGATCGATCATCGCGGTCGATCGATTGCCATAAAAATAACATCCAGGGTTCATCTAATATCGTTTCGTGCCCTATTCTCGCGTAATGACACATAAGTTAAAAATCCTTATACTCTCTCTATATTATCATCATTGATATTGTACTTATGCTAAAATGTTCCTGCAATACAGGGCAATTTCTATAGCCTATACTATAGATAAATTTCAGCTTAATCACTGCCTTTTTTAACAAGTCAGAAAGGTCATAGAGTAGCTAGCCTTAATACACACAAGTATTATCTGTACTTAATAAACTAAATACAGGAAATATATCGTGAAAAACCCTTAGAAAATTGATATAATTTTACCTCTTTACCCTTCGAATTTTACCTTAAAACATTATTTGATAAAATCGTGTGTTTAAATTTTATATTATAATATAGAATTTGATATAGATTGAGAAGAAACAAGCGTAAAATCATAGTAAAAATTTACATATTTGGAAGGTTAGAACTGACGTAATCAAATTAATGTATGTCTTGTTTAAAAGAGTGACGTATGTTACTTCCACACTTCAATAAATCTTTCTTAAGCAACATTTAGGAATGTGATGAGATCCATACTACTAATAGAAGAAGGAAGAAGGAAGGAGGAAATAGGAAAAGAGACTTAATAAAACGTGTAAGTAATGATTATTATCGATCAATATAGTAAATTTGTTTGATATTTGAAATAAAAAGTAACTCAAGAATGCAAATTAGAATTAATTCTGTACCTTTAAACAGCCAAGTAAATACAGTAATTATAGATTGGAAGCAATGGGGACGAAGACGAATGCTTATAGATATCAAAATGATATAAACTGAGCGGGGACATCCGAATTCAAATTATATAGTGTTGTAGAATCACTAATATAATGCAGAATAAATAGGAATTTTAACTAATGATTGGACTAATTAAAGGTCCGAGTGGAAAATACAACATAGTAATCCATTTTCTATCAATTTAATTGGCTTCTAGAAACCCGTCGTAAAGCGAGTCATTGTATTTCCCATAATTTTCTTAAAAAATGATCGTGTGAGATGTGTTTTAACGCTCATTTTAAAGAAAATTATATCAAATGCCATATTTTATATTGTATTATATACACTTAAAACGCTTTATTTCCACGAACGAAACCTCGTTTTATGGCACAGATCGTACGAGAAATCAATGGCTCGCTTTACGACGAACTTCCAGGAAACGATTAGATCGTAAAATGCTACTTTGATCTTCATTTAATTGATTAAAGTAGCAATTAAATTCTATAAAGAAATAAAAAGAAATAAATATTTTATGATAAAAAGCTAAATCAAACCACAAGCCAAAAAAGTATTTTAAAATTAAATTTTTCATTAAAAAAAAATTAGACGATAAAATTTACTAATCGATTACTTCAATAAATAATCGATTAAAAAACATATATATTTGCTACACGTGCGTTGACTTACGATAGAGGGCGCCACGTGTCATTTATCAGGCGCTACGTGGCGACCTCTATCGGATATTTCTGAAAATATACGAGTAATTGTTTGATCTTAAACGTTGACACATTTGAACATTGTTTAAATAGATCACGTTTCATTCTACACGTGCAAACGTTACATTATTCAACTAGTAACGTTTATTATTTAATATTCAATTACGTTAATATTACATTAAATAAACATTTCCACACTTAACAGCAACTCCTATATAAAATATAAAAAACGTAATAACTCCTGTGTTTTTTGTCGAAAATTTCTGAAATTTTGCAGGGAGGTTCGTGTATTAGAGGTATCAATGCTGTTAAATTTTGATGGTCAAAGGTCAACGGGTTGTTGAGATATAGGGGTGTCGTGTGTCGTATCCCGATCGGAGTCGGACTTAATGAAGATTTTACTTGTTATTAGCATTTAAATTTTTAAAATAAAACTCATCAAAAAAGCTTTTTGACATTTTATAATATAAATCTTTTAAATAAAATTCATAACAGATGGCGCCACACATCATTTAGATTCTTTTTCCAGGAAAGTTATGCAACTCGTCGCTGGATTTTTCTCTTGGCAAGCTGAGGAGCTGTTGAAGTGATACACGTAAACTAATATAATTCTGTGTTTTTTGGGGAAGAGGAAGCATCAGCTATACGAAACACTAAAAACACAGTTTCTGGCATGGACGAGAGAGGTATTGTTACAACGAATCCCGAAATATACAAGAAAAATCACGTGGAATCTTCAGCATGGATGAAGGATGAAGAACAATATACCAAATCGAAGCTTATTAAAGATAAGAAGAAACCGCTGAGAAATTTATTAAAATACAAGGTACTGCATGAGCGGTGGTATAGAAATATAGTACACTAGCAGTATCGGTTGAACAGAACAGATCAACAGAAGTATCGGTTGACACTACTTTATTATACTAATAAAAACCACCATTCTCTATCGATTCTACGTCAGATACAACACCAGGCTGTCAGGTTTCCAGAGTGTTAATAAACACTACATTGGAAGATATGGAAAACTCAGACTGACCAGTGGCCGAGTAGATAAAACCACCGAACACTGGTAGTGGGTTCGCGCTTGGCCAACGGAATAACCACGTTGAATTTTTCGGGTTTCTTCACATCTGTAACACCTAAGTACAGACAAGTTTCTCATAGGAAGCAGAATGCCCACGCGTCGAGTTACTGACATCAAATAAACCAAACCGAAAATTCAGGATTTAATGATAATTATTTGACAGAAGGTCAAAATAAAATAGATCCATTCCGAATAAAGTCTGTATTCTACGAGAACAGAAGATAAAATGGACGAAGAATCGTAAAAGACAGTAGATGGATTAAGAGTAAATGATGAATTATAGTTTGAAGAGGTGTATACCAGAGAGCTTCTTCAACTCTGTGGCCTGAAATAAAGATGAGAACGGGATTTATTTTTTCAAACACTTTCTTCACACGTTGCTTTTGCTCAACTGTATGCACCCTGAAGTGAAAATTTGTGTTTCTCTGTATTGTCATAACACGAACATTTTTTTTTTATATGATTGCATCTGGAACAAAACTATTCAGAGGAACTTGTTTCAGTTTTTTAGGGTAAAAAATCCTATTAGTTTTAGGGGAAATTCCAGGTCTTTTCTTCGCACTGAAGGTTGTTAACGAAATTTTTCTACGTATTTATCAGTTGTAGAAAATTAAACACGCATCAAGTCGAAAGATCAAGTGGTGACTCATCACTGGTGAGTACCACATACATTATTACGTTATTTTCGTGAAAAAAAAATAATTGTTTGCTAAATTTCGAGGAAAATAATGTAATAATGTATACTTGATTAGTGTTTAACTTCCCGTTTGCTATTAATACTTGCATAACTTCTATCAATACAAGAGCATCGCAATTACATTTGCATTACCAAAAAGGAGAATTGTGTTGATATTCGCGGGTTTTTTCGGCCATTTTTGCAGTTTTTAATAAGTTATTTTGCTTAATAACAACGTGGGATCCAAGCTACGACCCAATTAACCATCGGTAATCCGGCACTCTACAGGCCCTAATGATGCCGGATTAGTGATGGTCAACCTGTATTTAAAATAGATCTGATGGAAGAATCAGTTGTCTAGTGTGCTTATCTTTTCTTTTTCTATAAATAAAGGAAACTCGTGGCTTCCAAAATTCTGGGTAATTTAAATCTGAAAGGTGATTATTAATTAAAATTTAGGATAAACACAGGATCGATACAACGGTAATTCCCGAAGATGCAAGAAAATAGGAAGAATTGCTTAAAGAAAACAAAAAAGGCAAAGTAACTTACTCTGCAATGCCCAATTTTGTTGATTCTGTAGACCTAATCCCCATTCCCCCAAGGATGATTGGCAGCGAGCAGATATATTGTAATATTGCTCCGTACTCCTGGAGAATGGTAACAACTGGCGAGCCGCATTCTCGGTTAAGCTGTTCAGTAAAGGTTGCAAAGTACCCCATCTGAGATTATCCGGGGATTTGGCAGCAACCGAAATCCATAAGCAGCAGCAGCAGCAAAAAAACAGAACCGAGATGTCCACTGGCATATTTAAATCTGTGCCAGATCTTTCCTTACGTTTAAAAAGACGAAGCTACTACAACTGCGCCCTCCCTTTAAAGTTACGTCGAACATACGACACCCGCCACTAATACGTGGCCCATTTATAAACGGGGTTACTCGTATCTAGCGATGGCCCAATTTAAGTTTCGGTTTGGGCGGCCCTCGTACTTACTACTCGATTCCTGCATCTACGAGTAACATTAGGTATTTGTGATCTTAGTGTTTATCGTCCGAATAGGTCGACGGGTGGTAGGACGACCCAATTCAGTTTGCAGGGTTTTCTAACGGTGCGTATAATTGGAGCGAATGACGGAAGCGTAGTTCTGCCCTTCAATATTTTAAGTTCTTTGCCCTTGATGAAAATAAAACAAGAGACGTGCATTCGTGCATTTCTAGACATTGAACCCCTTTTCTATTTTGCCTCAATTGAGCCCTTCTGTATAACTTTCGAATTAGCTGTCTGTTGAGAATTTCGAGGACCCTTGTGTTTTTGCACCCGTTGCACCTGCCTAGTTATAATACTGATTACCTTTCCTTAATATATAATATTCTCGGTTGCTTCAGCTAGTATTCTTATATAGTAAACTGAAGCTAAAACCTATAGAAGTAACTTAGTATCGAGATTTAAAACCGCATCACATTGATTTCTTTATGTGTTGATCAATAGATTGAAAGCTCCTTTCGTTATAAGTTGACATTTTGACCTCGATTCTACAACGCTTCTAAGCTACTTTCCTGTTTATCAAATAGACATCATACAACTTGAGTAATACAAAGTTTATAGAACAACACTCGGCTTTCTTAAATCAACACAGAAAAATAGAAAAATGTCTGCAGAAAATTTAGTAAAAATTTCAAAATATTACATCATATTTTTTAAATTAATGTAAAGGAAAATAAAACACGAGGTTAATCTCTGTCAATAAATTAAATCTCGTATCATTTATACAAACAGGAAAATAATTAAGTAAATAACTAAACTCGATTGTGCAAAGACATAACTGATCTAACTTTTAATTAATATAACAATCACTTTCGATCCTTTCTATAGATTATTGAAGTGTTAATACTTCTTATTGAGGGAATAAGAAAAGAAAAATGACAATAGAGAAGAAAGTAAGCATCGAATTTCTCAACTTTTTCGCTCTTCACTGCAGGGGTACAGTTCTTCAGGCACAGAAACAATGTATTGTTCGAGGAGAATCCGAAATTCGGTGGCAGTTTTAGGTTGTAGGAAACGTTTTTACATAAGATTACGTAAATTAAATCCCTCGTCCATACTTAATTACGAATTGTGTGGAATCCGAATACACAAGAACTACATGGACAAACACATTTGTTCATGTATGATGAGCGAGATCTTAGGAGGAATTCTTGATCGCCTACGCGTAAATTCTCCACTGCTGCTACCTCGGATAGATTGGATGATTGACTAATCGAATGATTAATGGAAAAAAAAATGTGGTAATCTCTTGTGTAAATGCTAAAGCTTAATTCAGATCATACACGAGGAGGAGTTTCTACATCCAGTACACGTTGTAATGATATATATATATATACTTTAATGTAAATATTTAAAAATTTTCTCGTGATTTCTTTAGTAAATGATAATGTAAGTATATGATTACATTTTGTTTAAATCATTTTAAAAGTATACAATCTTTGGATCCAAGCTCTTGCTCTTCTCGACCATTCAAAGGATTTCACATTAATTACATTAATTATCCATTTCAATTCGTTTAAATTTATAGGGGAAAAACAGATCTAAATACGAAAAATTGCCCACATTTCAAGGGCAGTAATCGTTTAACCGGGTGACGAATTAACTACTTCAATTACTCTCTTATCCGTGTCAACACGCAAAGACAAATTATCCAGCCAAAAAAGAAAAAAAAACTGTTATGGATAATGTAATTTTCGAGTTATTCAAATTATTTCGTAATTACAAAATATATATATATATATTTTTGCGTTATTTAAACCGGATCTGACGAAAATGGGTCGATCCCCCGGAGCGATCGAGAATGGATAGAGATAGAAAACTAACGCCATGCGATATCGCAATCGCGACTATTTTCAGAATGTCAAGTGAAAAAAAAAGAAAAAAAAAGTAAAAGTTTTCCTTGGCGATTACGTAAAGTTACTCGCGCGACACTTGAGTATGTCAAAGTCACTTTTACTTTCCCAGATGTCATACATAACACAGGGAAAGTATGGCGATAGGTCAAACCCCTCCCCGAAGATGTTTACGTTTTTTGGACTCGGGTGACCTTGAAATGTCGAGAAATGCGAACATTTTGCGGGATTTTTCTGTATGTATGGATGTTAGTGTATGTGTGGGGGGACACGTGTACGTTCGCCCAATTTAAAACTTAATAAATCCTATTCCTTTTAACGAACTTTTACGGGATAGTTTGTATTAGATGCTTCTCGAAAAATCAATGTCAGTGTGCCTGTTAATTCATTATTTAAATTTAAGTAGTTTCTACGTCGTTATTAATTTATTCTTTTGAAAAAAATTGTTTCCTTGTAGACATAGACACATTTCCGATATATTCTTTAAATAATTGAATAGTACAAAATCGGTGAAGCGTACGGACGAAAACAATGACTGACAAATTATATAAGGCCTAAATTTTCTTATTTTAAATACAAAAAAATTTATTTAATTAACAGTTTTGTATTATCCTCCGTCCCATTTAACGTATTAAAGGTGTGTCAGAGGTGTTATTAACACGCGTAAAATTGGCAACATTTTTCTCAAGTTGGTACTCATAATGTTCAGTTGATCCACCTGGAGCTTCTTGCAGGAGGCCACCACGTACAATGTGGTGAAATATTTTCTTATGGAAGAGTGGTTTGGGGCCTCCTGTTGGGGCAATTTTCCTTTTTGTCCATAGGATAACGCGCCGTAACCTGGAAGATGTATCAGTGGCTTACTTCATACAGTAAACTGTTTGTTTGAGGCTCGATTTAAAAAGTCAGAAAAAAAAAAATTGGATATTAAATTCCATTTATAAATAGCCCATTTATAGGATCCCGAATTAAGTACCGTTTTTTTTCTAACCGGAAATGATTTATATGTAGGATAAGACGTGGATTTCTGACCTTATCCTATCTTTTTCCGGCTCTGGAATCACATTGTTGGCTCGTTTGACTGTACTTTAAGAGTTACTATTTCTGTCAGCTTTGTTAGCTTCCAATGGGAATATTGTGCCATTATAAGTTAAACAGGTATTGTAAGTTTACACTAGCAACTATCATCAAACACCGAGCAATGACTCCAAATATGAAAATTATCCCACTCGCCGTTGAATGGGCAACTAAACAATCTTTAGTGCCACGCCGAGAGGGGTCTTTCCCTGAGATCCATGGATATTCTATCTCCAAGTTAGCGCCCTTTTTTCTATTTTTGAAAAGCGGAAGTTTAGCAACCCCCGAAAAATAGAATGTGCCTTAATTTCTTAGTTAGTGTGAGCGCTCACATTCAAATGAATGTATACAATTTTGCAAGCTAAAATGTTACTTAACTAAAATCAATTATTGAGTTTCAGGTGTTACGGGTTACAAATAAATTGCCAAACTGTCCAGTGACGTAAACTACTTTTTGCACTTAAATATTTTACTCCAAAAATCATTACGTGTCTATTTTACCGGTAAATTAGGTAAAAAATCTTAAATTACTGGTTCCTTTTTTTTACCTGATTACAGGTAATGCATTTCCTAGTTACATACGAGATGACCCTTTCACAGTATTACTTGGAGGCCAAGTTTTTAGGATGGTTGGAGTTTTTATTTATAAACANTACCCGAGACCGCCTGGTTCCACCTTGAATTTCACTACACACGAACCAGTGGGCATCTGCAGAATATTTTCAGATTGCAAAGCTTAGAGACACATCGGTACATTTAAAAAATATATATTTTAGGGGTTTACACAAGTAAATTATAGAATACAGTACTGCACCAAAGTGTAGTCGAAGGTGTAAGGTGTATTTTAATCACTTATACGATTATAATTTGTGTAGTTTTTACCTCCCTTTGAGGATGATCGTGCACAAATCTCTCACTAAGAATTAACATTGCTACTCTTGTGTTTATAAACACAAATGTATGGCGGGATTCTGTGTGCTACTTCTATATTTAGGGTACGATAATGATAAGGTAAGTCTAAACGGTTACGATTGTTATCTCTTAAACGCTATTATAATCGTGTCGCTTTTTCTAAATGATAATTATTTAATTTAACTCTAAAACACAAGAAATTTCATTAAAATTATCCATAACAGAACACAATCCTCTCGATGGATATCGATAAATTAAGCCAAGAAAACAGAAGAAAGTAAAGATGTGGTACAATAAAACTTCGATTTAATTAACAAAATAATTCGGGATAGGGGTGTCTGTTATAGAGTAAAGTAGGTTTTCCTAATGGGAGTGTTAAAAATCCATCAACGAGTTGCCTATCTTTCCCGGCAACATTTATAAAGTGTGTGGAGCACCATCTGTTATGGTATTTTATTTTAAAAACGGTTTACATAATTACTTATTTTTAAATGGCAAGAAGGTTAATTTTGAGGGTAGGGATGAGTTTTATACAAAAGAAAATTGATTGTAGATGTTAATAACGATTAAAATCTTCATTAAGTCTGACCACGACACCCCTCGATCTTTAATTAAAACAAATAACTGCTAAACCAAGATATATGGTCAAATATATCAGAAAATTCAATACTTTTACATTAGTTATTTATCTGTAGCTCAAAATTTAAGTATGTACGAAGAAATAATTGATAATTTAATTATTTCATTCACACTTTCATAATATTGCAGTTAAGTTTTCATGTCAAGGCTTTTATATAATCCATTTAAATATATACAGTATTTACTATAAAGTTACGTAATTACTTTAAATAAATAATATTGTCCTGAATAATCGGGAGTTCCTCCAGTCGATTCATTGTTTTTTTTTTTACCTGTATCGAGAACAATATAAATCCGGTGTACGCTTATGCCATTTTTTTATTATTTAAATTGGTAAGTGCGTGACCGTGACTGAAGGAAAGAAGATAAAACCAGACCAAATTTCCTTTATAATTTAATTAATGCAACTTTATACGGTTTGCAGTTTTGAATTGTTTTATAACTGCTGTAGACGACATTTCGGGCACGCGAACGACCCATTTTCTTATGAGTTCTAGGGATTAAGTACATACAGCAAATACATTATGATGTAATAGAGGGTTATGTCTAGTTCTATGAATATATTTAAGTATAATATTTCATTATCTTTGGTTAATTAATGTACACAGAATTTACAAGAACACTGAGAGTGCCCACCATGGTCTAGTAGATAAACTACTGAACACTAATAGTTGGTGGGGGTTTAGCGACTGGCCAACGTGTTTTTCGGGTTTTCTTTACGTTAGTAACACTTAAATAGGGGCCAGTTTCCCGTAAACGACCTTCTGGTAAGAATTCCCTCTTGGCAGATCGCTCAAGTATCGCATTGCCCTATACGAAGAAACTAGAAAAGATTATGTCTAGCTTAGGAAAAGGTCAGGAAGAATCTCCAATAATCGGATTAAAGAATTTTTTCCCAATCCACATTACTCCATTCCTCTGCTCTACATATTACAATGCAAGGATGCGGACAGGAGAAGAATCAACAGAATCTGTAGGTTCACGAGGATTGTTCAACTTTAAACGTTAAGCTTTTTCAATTCTCCAACACTTTGATGAGAAGGAAAGTTAAAAAAATAATAGTACAAATTCTTAATGATTAATTGATCCATTTTTTCAACTGGAGAATTTTCCATAAATTACATCTTTTTCAATAGTTCAATTAGGCTACTTTCTTGTGATCATTAACAATAAATTATTTCATCGAACAATTACGACAATAAAAAATACAATGATCGTCTCGACGTGAAAAAAGACCATTGGTAATCCCAGCACGAATAAACTCGGGAGATTCTTTTCTTCTGTTATATCATTATAACATCTAATTATTTACCTACCTCTGGAGATATTTATCACCTAGTGATTCATTGCAATAGTTGACACGTCTTTGTATGACCAACCACAATAGGATCGACGAACACGAGAGAAGAATAGCAAATACCACCCTCCGCCCATACTACTAACAAATGGCTGTCTAATTTGTATGAATATCGCATGAAACAGTCGCCAATTAATCGTCACCACTGAGCCCACATATCCTCATTCTTAACCCCATTATAATATGTTAGAAGAACAGAAATCATCATATGCAATATCATCATATAATGCAAAGATAGCAGACTGTGTTATAAATTAATGTTCTATGGAAAATTAGTTATGCCAGCTACACACATACCAGTATATCTGAATGTGTAGATGACAGAACTGTCTGCTTTTATCATCCACATGTTCAGGTACTGACTTTACAATGGCCAACTTAAAATGCAATTGTAAAGTCATGGATAATTATGAAAAAATTTTATGCTACATAAACTTAAATGAAAAAACAATTAAAATACATTACAAGATCTCTTCTCTTCAAACTACTCTTTTCTTTAAGTGATCATCTCTACAAACACTCTTCTTATAACTATTAAGTGGTTGAACACTTCAATAAATCTATAGACAATACATAAAGAAATTTTAAATTTACTGTTTCTAAAATATGAATCATTGTCAAGAATTTATTTTCAATATTATAATCAAACACAATACAATCCACTTATATCTGTCTGTGAAATATGATTGAATAAATGTTCTCTTAAAAGGTGACTCGTAGAAAAAGTATCTTCGCAAATATTACATGAAAATCTTTCATCCGAGCGACAGATCAAATGCCGATGTAAGCACAGTTCGACGGCAAATTTCTCGTTGCAAATTTTGCACGCGATAGATTTTTGGCCCGCGTGCAGTTTTCCGTGTCGTCTTAAACTCGCCTTCCAAGAAAACACTCGGTCGCAGTCGGAACACTTAAAAAGTTGTTTCGTCTCAATTTGCGTTTTTGATCTCGAACGATTTCTGGATATTTTCTCTTTCATTCTGCATTCGTGTGTAAGTAAATCCTTGTTGCATTGTAAAACTGAAAACATTGAGAAAAATTTTAAATTAGATTACTGAAACACTATAACCTACTGTCTAACTCCATAATACTAATTAAACATTACCTTTCTGTTTAAATTGGAGTCACAGACAATTTAAGCAAAAAAGGTAACATTTTTTTCTAATCAATGAAAGAATTGTGTGTTATATTCTTGCTTTTATGACTTTTGTTCATGGAAAATTGTTGTAACATGATCCATCCTATTCTCAAAAACTTAGTTTATGTTCCTGCAAACAGTTTCATTCTACAATACTATTCTCTAATATCAGTAAAACAGTAATTTAACTATATAATATCACAGAGAAGGCAAATAAAAATTACAATTATTATTAGAAAATTTATACCAATTGTAAAAAGAAATGATTGTAAAGTGGAATCTGTTGTATTTGTATTAAAACAATTTCATAACTAAGATTAAGATTACACAGATTTAAACTGATGAGTGAGCTATAGATTGAAGCAGTAAGCAACAATGCTTTTGCTATTGTGTAGTCAGTGAGCAAAAATTGTTACTTGCTACATAGCTACTGAAGACAAAAATGTCTTTGGTAAAAGAAACTTCTAGTACCATAGACTATCACTTGATTTTGTGTCATTTCACATTAAAAATTTGCTTACTCATACCTGCCTATCATGTATACTGTATTTCTCATAAAGAATACACTTACACTAAAGAAAACAGTCCTATAACATACAAATTAATAGTTTAGAAACATCTGTGGCTTCTTGTATAATCTCTAATCATTCAGATGATTAGTTTATAAGTTAGAATACAAAGCCATTTATTATATTTGTCTTACTTCTAGCTCAGTTTTACAAAAATTCTCAACTTAATTGACAATACTGTATATTTTGTTCTAAGAAATATATATTCCTGTTCATCTCTTACAAAAATAAATCATCATTTTAATGAAAAAATTAATTAATTAACAAGGAAATGAAAGGGTAAAAAATATGCTTGAAAAGCAATCTTCGTATGATAAAATGATTCAAATCTTCTGATAACAATCAGTTATAATGACCCAAATTAATTACTTTGATGTGAATATAATTTTAAGGAAGACTAATATAATCTGTATTTGATAATCTTGTATGTGCAGATAAACAGTAATAGTGATATAAATTTACATATAAGGATGATTCAAAAGATTTTAGACAAACTTTAGAGGTCAGTAATACAAAAACAAACCATTTTTACCTTGGAATATATAGCTGTTGCCACCACCAAGGGTTGCTAGAACAGGAAGAATCATACAGAAAAGAAAACACGCAAAGTATACAAAATGTTTATTATAACACTTGGGTAATGTATATGGCTTTATGTTCCTAGATAAGAATGGTTTGTTTTTGTATTCTTGACCTATCTTTAAAGTTTGTCTAAGATCTTTTGAATCACCCTATATATATATATATATATATATATATAAAACAAAATATGAATTTTAAACACTCACCATGATCATTTCAACACCATTTCAGAGATAGGAAGCATAATTGTGTGCTACTACCAATGTAGCCACATTAAATAAATGAAGATTATGTTTAACATATACAACAAAGGTATTAATAACAGACAGAAATGGAAAGTCAACTGTGTGACTAGACAGGGCAGAAACATCGGCATTAACATACTTCTGTAATTGTGCATTCTATCTCAAATACGGCATTGAAACGAAGGTACGTGTACCATAGACTAAACAGCAAACACAGATTTCTATGATGGCTGTTAAGAGGTTGTCAACATTCTTATTAATATTAGGTATGGATGCTGAGATCCTCCATATATTATATTTTCAGTTAATGTATAAAATTCTCTTAAATTTCTGAATAAATTTGTAGTATTAAAATTTATAACAAAATTAATTTTATATATAAACACAACATAAAATATATTTGAATGTTTTTTAATTTAAACAATAGGTGTTATATTTACAAAATATGCTCAAAAAGTTCAAGAATAGATATAAAAAAATAAAAATAAATAAAAATTTATTTAGTATTTTTCAAAATCACTTCAAATTTCAATACACTTTCTCCAATAACTTATACAACTTAAGAAACATTTAGAAAAATTGATTTCTTTTGAAGATTTCACAATTTTCTTTGATTCATATTCTATGAATTCTGTGGATTAAAACAGTTTTCCTTTTAAAATTTTTCAACTTTGACTTAAAAAAAAAGAAAAAAATTATTAGGAGTTTGACTGTACAAGAAAAGCAGTTCCAACTTTTAAAGGAAAAATGTTTTGATTCAATAGAACTCACCAAAATCAGAGAAAATTATGAAGTCCCAGAAAGAAGCTAATTTTCCCTAAATGCTTCTGAAATTAGAGAAAGTGTATTCAGGCTCAAGATGAATATTTTGAAAATATTAAATAAATTTCTTTATATCTTAGCATACTTCATTACCACACAATATTTTGCCATTCTGTGCATAAGATGATTAATCAATCAATCAGAATATCTGTCCAATATTAATAATACTCTCACAGATAAAGAAGCATAAATGCTATTCTTTTCAAAGAAGAAAAATTTATAAATATTAATTAATAAATTAATTCACATAATCTTTTGAATGTCAGCATTTGAAAGATGTTAATGATGACACAAAATCCTTTAATTAAGTAGAGGAATGCATAGTATGGGGCAGCTCTTCATCCATCACCATCCTACACAAAAGCCATTCTAAATCCTGTCTGTATAAGCAATCTTGCAAAACCTACAAAAACTACTTTCATTTAGACATTGATATAATATTTCGGCCCATTTTGCGGATTTGCTATCACCGAACTAGTATTACCTATTAAGTTTATTACTTACATCACCTATTTTCTGGATATTTTGGAGAAGCGAAGCGGCGCAGGTGAAACAGGTGCGCCCGCACGGGGCCCCGCTCGTAAGGGGGCCCAAAATGCATGTATTTGTTTTATTATTTTCCCAAATCTAATTAATTAAGGGGCCTAAATGCAAAGTCTTGCACAGAGCACAGGAACGGCACTAAAGGGAGGAATGATAGCGAATATATTACACGTATTCTGGCAGAGATCAATATTGCAACCTATGACCCTGACAGATATATATGTAACAAAAACAATTAAGAATGAATGTTTTTGACCTAATACATTTTAAGAATTTTTTTCCTTAATAAGTAGGTTATGAATATTAAACAAGTAAAACGACAAAGCCATTTTTTGGGACTAGAATGAGCACCATTTTCTAAAGAAAAGAGAAAAAAAAAATGAGGAAAAGCCGACCACTTAAATGTATTGTGTATAGAAATATTAAGAGAATATATATATATAATGTTAAATGAATTAATTGGTTAGATTACGGAGGGCTTTGACGCGCTTACGACGGCTTGCTTTCTGACGGTCCAGTTCTCGTCTACGATAAGTGGGATCACTTTCAATTTTTTTACGGCGGTACTCTTTGGCACGTTCATTTTGTCGTTTACGGTAAGCGGGATCACTTTCACGTCGTTTACGTCGGTACTCTTTGGCATGTTCCATTCTTCTTCGATATCGCTGGCTTTCAGCGCGATCGTTAAAACCTCGACGACCTCGGCCACGTCCTCGACCACGTGGTCGTCCACGAGGCATTTTCGGATCCGAATGAGGTGTCACCAACACACGAGATTATCGAAACGACGAGAGCAAGAGAATAATACACTTGTACAGTTTGAATGGTATTCTTCCATAAAATTAATCGATTCTACACTAACTTGACTCGAACATTTACAAAGCGCGGTAAAACATTTTTTGGAACGATCCGTATAAAATATGCTATAAACAAAAACTTGTAGGAATACTTACCGAGTGTGTGCCGTTCGAAGAAGCCATTGTTTTATGCTCGTTTTCGTCGCGGAGCGGCACATTGGACGGCGGACGCGTACGAAGATTGTCACGTGACTACTCGCCGGCCTCTTATCTCTGACGTGTTTCCTGATAACTTTACTTTTCTCTCGGAAAAATTTTGCTGAACTTTGGAGACATCGTTATAAAAATATTAAAACATCATTCCATTTTAAATATGATTAAAATTTACATATAACAACGTATGATAATTCTACTCTGATTTTAAATGCCCTAATCTCTCTCGTGTCTTAAGCAAAATTCAGTTATATTCATTTACGTCAAGACATTAGACATCTTATGTTGCAGCTGATTAATATTTATCATCATAATATATATCATGATAGAATTATTGTCGTTAGCCAGCGATTTTACCTTTGTCGTTTCGTATAAACAATAACAATAATAAATAATGATATAAAAATTTATGTTTATTATTTTTATTAACTCATTTAATATGACCAGTAGCATAATAATAAGTCGTTTCTAATTACAACATAACTTACTGTAGTATATTATGATATATCACGTGACCGAACGGCATTCAGAAATATCACGTGACACTCTTCGTACGCGTCCGCGGTCCAATGTGCCGCTCCGCGACGAAAACGAGCTTAAGCAATGGTGTCTTCGAACGGTGCATACTCGGTAAGCATTTCTACAAGTTTTTGTTTATAGCATATCTTATATGGATCGTTCTCAAAAAATTATACTTGTGTGAGATACGCAGTGGGTCAGGGGTCAATCTCGTACTGACCACTTAATCTGCACAGGCTGGTAAAGCCCGATCTCTGAGTCGTAGGATGGCTAGGAGGGCAAATCGAGTGGGGAGTGCATCGGTAAGTCGACAGGTTTCCTCGGATAGACAGGAGACAGGTTTAACAAATAACAAAATAAATGTTTATTCTATAACTAAAGTAATTTACAGGAGTATACAAGTTACTGGTTATAGCTTAGATGCGGATAACATAAATTTATCTATAAGGGAGCTGTAACTATTCACTATGCCGCGTGAGAGTTTACAAAGAGAGGTTATATTGGCGGTCAGTTATACCTTATGGTCAGCGATCTTATGGTCAGTTTACATGGTCAGCGATCATACCTCTGGACGAGTTCAATTTCGTATTCGTCGTTCCACCAGGTGCGGGATCGGCGTTTTTATCGGATTCTGTCGGCGATGAGTTGGGTTGATCCAGATGTGATCGGATCGGGTGTAGTTCGTGAGAGACTTCTCCGACCCCCGTTTCGGATGGCAATTCCTTTTTATATGAGGGATCACATGATTACAATTACCAATCGTACTTATCGGTGGTGACTGTCATCAGAACTCCGGTTGAGAATCCGGTGAGGGAGGAAGTAGTTTCCGGCAGAAGAAGGATGAGCATCCGTTTAAAAATTTTGATAAGATCGCGTACGGGGTTTCAATAAAATTTTATGTGGCTGGGCCTATTATTCGGACCCTTACATTTGCTTTGGAAATAGTCACATTAGTGTAGTATCGATTAATTTCATGGAATAAAACCTGGCAACACTGGCGTTTGAACTTTCCAACGTTGCCAGATTTTAGCCAAAAATTTTCTAAAAAGTAGCCCAAATGTAGCCGACTCAAAAAAATTCCTTTTTAATAACCCGAAATTTGACAATAAAATAATAATAAAAAAAAACATCATTCGTACTTTTCCAGCAATAACTTTAATCACAGAACAAACCTTTTCGGCCAAATTACAAGCCTGAAGCATGTCTGTAAATTGATCCGAAAATAAGGAGCGCAAGACTCAAAATACAAGCATAAACTGTAATTTACTAATATGTTGAAAACACTCATTTTATATGCAAAATAGTGCAAATTATGCAATAAATGATCTTTTCAAGATGGACTTCTTTTTTACTCTTTTCGCCCAGTGGCCATTAAGAGGATCTCTTTTAGCAAGTCCATTATACGTTCGACCCAGCCCACAATGGGGAGGCCGGGTAGTGAGAGACGGGGAATGACATATCCGGTCGGATCACCCCCGAAAAATTCCTGGAGAATTTTTTGATCCGTCCGAATTTGATTTCGGGTTCCCCAGAGCGGTATGCTGCCACCTTGACCGTTCGGCCATCCGACTGTCATACCAAGACGGACTATAACAATTAATTTTCCTATATACTATTCTTAATACTAAGTAGTTATCGTTTGTTTTGTTAACTTATGGCAACGCAACATTTGGGCGATCTGCCTAGGGGGATGCCTTCCGTGAGGTCTTTTTTAAGGTTAAGGGTAACTTGCCCCTTTCAGGCGTTACAGACGTGGAGAAAACGCGGAAAACTCCACGTGGCCAGGCGCAACCCACGACGGAACTCACAGTGTTCAGAGTACAGAACCACTTGACCACTGGTGGACCTGAATAGTTATTAATTTGCTATTTCAAAAGGATTTATCAAACTACATTTGAAAGTTGACTAATAGATTTCTTTATTAAACCAATACGTACTGTACATCAGTAATAATAATAATAATATTATTATTATTAGATAAAGAATGCTTACATCCCACAGTACAGAAAGTAGACTATAGAAAGAAATTAAAATATTAAAAACAGATATTGAATTTATCATCGAAAATATCATAAGGAAAAGTTAAAATCACCTTCCCCCTCTATTAAAAGAGAAAAACAAAAACCCAACTATTGAAGGGTATTGATGAACCCAAAATGTACAGTACATATTGGTATTATATATATATACATATATAATATAATATATATATATATATATTGGTATTATATATACATATACTTATAATTAATAAAAAAATGACAAAACACTATTTTAAATATATTTATAAATAAATATGTAGCGAAGTCAAATTTATGTAGCCCAAAAAGTAGCCAATGAGCCAAACGATTTTTTTACGCCAAAATAAAACACGGGTAGCTAAATTTGGCGCAAAGTAGCCAAGCTGGCAACTCTTCTCAACGCACGCGTTGAAGCGCGCGCCAGTTACAAGTTCTATCTGAGGGGCGGCAGATAGCTCTACTAGATCTACATTGCGTTTGCGTTTGTTTATTGTTTTAGTTCGCGAGCAACGCATGAGCAAATTACGCACTCGCACCTGTTTGTAGAAACAGTCTCAGCATTTTGTATTTTATTTTGACCCGGTTCTTGATCCCCGGCTACCTGGAAGTCTGGTTTATTTCATGTGCACATGATTTGCACATGATTTACTCCTTCATAGTTCTAAGATGTCCAGCCGTTGACAGCAGCGACATTTTAGAGTCTCGTCTCATCAGTAAGACCCTTCCAACAAGCTGCCAGTCTAAATATAGATTTAAAAATTGCAACATAACCTGATTTTCTATGAGTGTTATGTTATGATATGAAAAAACTATCATTTCTTTTGTAATTAAATAAGACAACAGTTGTTTTAACCAAACACTATTATCCTTTTGACGCCATTTTGAGAAAAGATGGGACTGCTTACCACATGTGTTGCTACAAACACCTCTGCATATATAATCACACGATTTACTTAAAAATTTCCAGTAAGTCGCTACGATTTTCGACAACTACATCTGTATTCTATTAATGCAATCACAAACACTGGCATTATCCCACGTGGCAAGCGGTCGCACTGGTATCTCAAATATGGCGTCGAAATGATGGTATCCTACTTTTTTTTTTTTGCTAACAAAAGTAAAAAATTACATAAGCCATTTTTAAATCTTCTCGAAGCGATTTATCTTAATAACGGTTGAATTCATTCAATACGTGGAGATAAAAATATACCTTATTTTAGGCAATTTTCGAGTATTATTTTACGCTGAACGACTGAACGCTCTGTTAAACATATATAAAGGCATTGCAATGAATCTTCTAAAAAAATGACAATCAAACATTCCAATTTTTGTATATTGACATCGATATGTATATCAATCATCATTCCGACGCCATGTTTGAATTAAGAGCGCTACCAAATGAGCTATACCAGTATCTCTTACTTCATACAATTTGGCGTATCTGTGTTATTATAGGACTATCATTTGATGTGTTAAATATATGACTATTATTATTTAATACAGAATATCCACAATAGTTCATCTGAAGCAGTTGCTCTTCCTGCATCCAACATGGCGTCGAAGTGACAATTAACGTTTACTAATACAACACGTACACATTATTATTTGTGTAGCTTTCGACGATTCCTATTAATATTTTACTATCTTACCTTTTTAAATTGTTCGCATAATATTTAAAAAAAATACGAAATGGCTTCGGCCAAGCGGATCCGTTCCTTGAACACTTGGTGTTCGGGTCTCCTTTCCAGGACGGGCTAGCCACGTGGAATTTTTCGAGTTTTCTACACGTCTGTAACACGGGTTTGATTTTTATATTTAATTTTTAATTGTTAATATAATATTACATATTAATACAGTCGACCCTCCTATAACACTGTTGATTTTTCCGTTTTATATGAATTTCATGTTGTACGAGTCGCTTAGATTTTACAAATACGTGAGCCGTTCACAGCCCGACACACGTATTTGTAAAATCTAAATGACTCGTACAACATGAAATTCATATAAAACGGAAAAATCAACAGTGTTATGGGGGTTCGACTGTAATTAAATTAATCTAATACACAAGATATATGCTAAGACAAACGTTATTTATATATGATATGGTATTTAATAATTATTCTGTGTATAAGTAACCTGAAAAAACTATATTCTACTGTGCTTAACGATTATACCTTGTACAGAAATTCTTCTCAAAAAACAATAACGACAATAAGGCGAATTTCGGATTCCCATTATAAGTCTATGTAAAAAATTCCATTTAAATTCTATTAATTATTATTATTTTGTTAAATACGGGAGTATTTTAAACTACAGTTAAAAATAGCATATGTAAAATACCCTTAC